GCTTCTCCTTAGGATAGGTGAGCAGCTCTGGACTCACAGCAGGCAGATGTCTGCCCGATCAGCTCTGGGAGTTACACCTAGTGCCACTGCAGCCAGCACAATACAGGACCAGGGAAGAAAACTGAACACACAAAAGCAGTGTGACAAGAGAGGCAAACCCCCTCCCAGCAATGTGGCAGCTTGGCCTCAGAGGATGGGAGAAGAGGGCCATTGATCTGGCCATATCCCTTCCCTGCCTGCAGGTACTGACTCATAGGGACAGAGATGTTTCTCCAGCAATAAGCCTGGGTCAATTTGTCCTCACAGTGATGTACAGAAGGTTGCTCCAAAGGCACCTACAAACCCTGGCAGAGAGGTGTGAAAGGCAGGTCTCTCACAGGCAGCATGTGCACAGAACTGACAGCATACACGACCCCAAAAGCACACAGAGAGCAGGCAGATGAGGCTGACATGGGAGGACAGTCCAGACCAGCATACCTAGGTGTGCTTCCCCTCAAAAATCCCTCTAATAAATGACCGGTCATACGACAAACAAAAGCCAATCTCCTCCCTGATGCATTCTCCCCTGTCTTCTGTAAGGACCTGCCATCTTTTCCCTACAGCTCCCGTATTTAAGTCACATCCTTCTTTCTCCCACTGCTTCGGTACATATTTTTGTATATTGAACAAGAAAGTTGGCAGTTCATTTCAGCAACCTTTTTGAGACAACTTCTGCAGTGCTGCAGAATCATCCCCCGGGTATGTCTTGCCTGCAATGAAATCACTCTGCCCTTGATCCAGCACTGACCTCTGTGCACACACATTGATTTTCATGGACGGGTGCAGCAGGTTTTGGTGGGGCTGCACTTCCAAGTTTAATGCAGACCGAGTCCCTCATGCAATTTTCTTAGCGACAGCAGCAGAGTACAAAGCTGCTGCCGCATCGACCAGGATGATATTCAGGTAGTTGGGAGGATCAAGTCAAAATGTTCAAGTCAGGATGGGAAAAAGGACCTGGTTGTTTTTTTTCTGTTGCTTAAATAAAGTAGTGGTAAACTGAAGTGTAAAATGGGAATTAAATCAATGAGGAAGAGTGTGCCTGTGTTTCCCCCCTGGGCTGTGGCTGCATGGGAGGCAGAGGTTGCAGCAGTGCTTATGAGCAGACCCAAATCCTGAAATTCAGGGGTGCTAAGTATTTGCCCAGGGCTATAAATCATTACAAAGAGAAGGCACAGGAAGGTATTTGCTTTCTTCTCTTGGCAGCCAAAGATACCCCTTCCTTTTGAACAGCCAAGCCAGACCCATGCCAGCTCTTAGGAGCCCAGTTCCCCCCCTTTCACATCTGCCATAGCACACCTCATGCTTAAGAGACTCCACTGTTTTCAGACCAAGGAGTGATGGATTCCCTTTGTAGCAAAAAATCTACAAAAAAAATTTAAAATAATTTATACCCTGAAAGTCTGGAAAAACATTTTCAAAGCCCCCAGACAAAACTCAGAAACTGAAGAGCCATAGACCTCATCAAACACTCCTCACCAGGGTGTTTGAAAATGCTGTTCCCTGTGTTTAACATAAGGGCAGTTTCCTAAATCACTTTGATTACAGGTGTTTCTTACACTTTACACTACACAAAAATGTCTGCTGCTTCTATAGCTGGGGCTTTCCCTCTGGCTTTTATGCAAAAATCCCTATTTCAGTTAGTTGCCATATTCTAAACAGCAGAAATTCAACAGCATGATCTGAACAAAAAAACTCTATTAAGCTCCAGCTCCTGAAAGCAAGTTTCAGGGAATTCACTTGAATAACCATTTGTATGTCAAGTTACTCATTACCAGCACAATGGGACTTCCAGGGGTCCCTTACCCTAAAGCCAGTCAGAAGTTCGTGCTGGGGGAGGAATTAAGGCAAACTTTTCACAGCACTGTTTCAGCATCTTAATAAATAAAAAGAAAACAAGAGTTTCAGGGTGAACAGCAAAACCCCACGCCTATCAGCCAGGTGACAGACAGGATTTAAGATGTTCTCTGAAATTCTCCTGCAGAGCACACAAAGCCTTCCCTCCTGCAGCTCCAGAGCGACCGGTTTGCCCTGTTTGTTCCTTTGGGGGAGCAGCCTGAAGGCAGGCAGAGGGAGAGGGATGCAGCTCCTCAGATGCCTGGTCGGGGGGGATCAAGGAGGAGAAGCCTCCCCTGTGCAGGACAGGATGTCTCTGCCTCCCACCAGACCCACCACCAGGCAGCTGCAGAGCTGGGGACAAGCTGCCAACAGTCAACACGGGCTCAGATGCCCACAGCCTAGGAGAAAAGGCAGGAATAATAAGGAGCTTAAATGAATTCAAACTCCCAAGGATAAAAGCGGTGCAAGTTAGCACACACAGGGAAGCAGGGCAATGCAAGCAGACATTTGCTTCAGAGCCACCAACTCACATAGTTCCATTCTCAATGGCTTCACGTTGTCGTTTCTAGCTCTTTGTACACACAGGAAAGGAGAGCGTTGGCACTTAATAATTTATACTGGGCCTCAAAACTGAAAGTAGGGCAGCCTTAATTTCCCCAGTGCTGAGGGATACGGGGTGGCTGACAAGAGTAACAAGACACCAACTGGGAGCAGAGGCCAAAGTCTCTGTTGATGCAAAGGAGGCTCCACAAAACAGACTGCTCGAGGCTTTCCATGAAGCAAAATTATCTTCCCCCTCTCCCCTTCTTGCCTGCTTATTTTGGGGTTGTGGGGAAGGCTGCATGAGTGATACAGTGGTTTAAACTGTAGCCTTAAACAGAAAAGATCAGTTCTGATAGTGTTTTCAGATCTTCCCAAAACAGAAGCCAGAAAATATGCATGAAGGGCTGCTCTAAAAATCAAGAGCTAGCAAAAGCATGAGCCATGTGATAGCTGGTCTCTTACAGACAGAAAAACAGATCAGGGATGGTGTTACCAGCTCACTTCCAAAAGCCACTTTGATATCTCACTGCCTTTACTGCCAGAGGAAGCTCAAAGAGTGGAAGCACCAGCTCAAGGCTATCTGAATTATTCACCAGAGACACTCAGCTGGAATTATTTCCCACTTCAGTGCCTTCAGGCAGTCCTAAGATCACAGTCACGTCTTGAGACATCCTTGCTGTGCCCAGCTGCACTGCAGGACACAAGCTGACACTGCATGCTGGGGTGAGAGCACTGGAGGATCCACCCTGGGCATTTTGTTGTCTCCAGTCCTTAGAGCCTGGATACTGCACCAAATACATTTTGTGTTGGTTCCCATCCCTTCGCTTTCCAGCATTTGGAGGTCAAATAAAGTCTCCAGGGAGCTCACATATTTGGGGTTAATCTTATCTCCTCTAAAATCACAAATGAAACCTTTGGAATCACGCATGGCTGAGATCCACGTATTCTGCAGTGGGAAAGTTCTCCCCTTGAGCTTTTGGCCACTCACTTAGGGGTTGCATGTCCCCAGGAGAAACAGCACCACAAAGCCAAGATACACAAGGACACCTGGGGCTCTGGATGGCTTCCAGTATGGGACCAACCTCCAGCCAGGTGCCACCATCTCCATCCCAAAGAGCAGCAGCAACAGCCGGAGATGCTTACACAGCTGGATGGGGCAGAAGGCTGTGTGGTCTGCAGACCCAATGAAAATCCATGCCAAAACCACCACGCTCCTAAGGTTTGGGCAGTTTTAGGTGTTCACACTTGAGCTGAGGCAAGCTGATAGAGACGTGTAGCAGAGGGAAAACAGGCCACTCATCTTCTGGCTTGTGCCTTGTTTCGTACTTAGCACAGCAACTTGCAGCACTCAAAACGGAGGCCCGTGGTATTCATTAGCACAGGCAGAGACAGCCTGTGCTAATTACCACAGCTATTACCACAGCCAGCACCCGTGCTGCTCCAGATGGGTACACAAGGCAGCCTGACTACACAGTGTAAAGTTCAAGGACAGATCCAGCTACATTTGTGCTATGGGAAAAGAGGTTTGGTTGAACCGTGGTGTGTTCTCAGCACAGGTGTGTTCCAGCAATCCCAGGGCCAATTTATTGTTGTTTCCTCACTAAAAAGGTCTTTGAGAATGCCATCCTGTCCTCTGTCAATCAGAGCTGAAGTTACACCTTCAGCACGGACACATTAGAATTTAACTAGTTTTCCACACAATATATCGGAAAGGGCAGATAAGATCCCTAATTGCATCTGAGACTTTCAAAAATTTTTCTCAAAGAAAATATTTGTACCTGTCCATGAGGAGGTGCACAGCTCTGGTACCTACAGAACATGAGCTGTAGGCACATCTGTCTTATATGTAACACTCACTAGGAGGGCAAACTTCTCTGACTATGAAGCAGGGGATTCAAAAAAAGAAACTGTCTGCCTTTCTGCTTTCTCAGCAGAACAGAAACCAAGGGCCAAACTCACTAACCCCTTGCTCAGATAACATGTTATTATTCATGGGAGCAAATCTGTTTATACCGACAGACTCATTTGACTACAGGTTGTGGAGCTGGGCTCTAAATCCCTGTGTAACAAAGTCTTTCTAATGATCTCGAGCTTGTTCCCAGAGCTCTAAATAAGCACCATTATGAAATGGCTTTGTACTGGGTAAACACCACAGAAAGCAGTGGCCAGGCTGGGGGCTGAGCTGTGGGGACAAGCTGAAAAACTCAGGCAAGTGTCTGTGTAGGAAGAGCTTTTTGTCCAAACCAAACTCTGCAAGCAAGAACAGAGGCTGGATTTCCCCAGTGTCCACACTTTCAGCATCCTGACCTTTCCTTTCCAAATATAATCCGCTCTTCACTCTGACACAGCAGACAGGCCCCTGCATATCACACTGACATGCAAGCCCAGGCCCCAAGTCACTGCAGTAGCTTAGCCTAGCTTGTTCCAGTTTTTTTTGCTCTTTGGAATGGGATGTTGGCTTCTTCCTGCCAGCCAGCATGCCTGTTTTGTGTTTGGAGAGTTGGTGCTTTTACAGCCAGACTTGATAGAGGAGTTTAGGGTATTAACTGGAAGGTCTGAGCAGGGCGTTTTGCACAGATATTTTTCTTTTCCTGAAGAATTAATAAAAAGAGAGTGTCTAAAAACTGGTATTAACAGGTTGATGTCCTTCAGGGAATCTGTTGAAATGTGCTTGCCAGGAAACACTTAGTAGACTGCCAGGATGTCCCCGGCAGCCAGGCAGTCAAGCCTCTGGCTCTTCAGCTGTGCATGGCAGGGTCTGAGTTCAGAGGCAGGGCAGCAAGTTGTGCTTTCACTGAAGAATCTGCCAAAATGAGCCAAGAAGACTCTCCAGAGCAGAAAAAGGCACATAAAAGTAAACTGATCAGTTTACAGAACACGTCACATTCTTGGTCAAGTAGACATGGTTTGATACAGCTGGAACTCACAAGCACACAGGCTCTAGGAATCCAGCAAAAAATCCCTCATATCCTTTGACAGGAACGTTGCCGACCGGTGGGAAACATGCACAGGAAATCAACTGAGGGTGGGGAGAGGGAGATCACGTAACAAGTCTTCTGTCTGGGCTTTCCCATCTCGGCCAGGCTAGCTAGTAGTGGTGCTGGTACACAGCTGCTGGGGTAGTGCCATTCTCTATGTGTTTCAGGTGACAGGAGTGACAAAGCAAATGTTCATCTAGCGGGTAACAGCGATGTCCATCTTCATCGTTCAGCTCCATCCCACAGTCCTGCAAAGAGAGGCCACGCAAACTGTTAGAGCTTGTGCTCATCTTCCAGCATCAAGCAGGCTTCCAGGAGGGTGATTCCGTGACCAGGCAGAAGATGCCCAGCCAGCAGCTCCTTGCCAGTAAGGCCAACATTTGCCAGAAGAAGGAAGGCACCTGACATAGCCATTCTGAGGGGCAGCCCTGTACAAATTTGTCTTGTGCAGATTTACAGAATAAGCTTTATCTCGTGGCAAGGTGCAACCCTGTGTATTTTAAACATGCTTGTGTCTCCTGACACTCCCAGGTAGGATTCACCCCTCCACATGACACTAATTGCAGTTGTACTGATGTGAAACTGGCCTGTTGACTCAAGGCCTCTTGCCACTGCACAGAAGCACAATGAGAGAAGACAACTATTTATTTTAATTCACGCAGCAGAAGTATGTAGGCACTCTGTGAAGCCCTGCACAGAGATGGTGTTTAAGAGCTGACATCTCTTGGGATTGCTTTGTGCAGCCATATCCTTTTTCCAGCCCCGATGGCACATTCATTTCCCATGAGCATGAAGGTAACTTACACCACACAGGATCAGTCATCCCCTTAGCATTTCTGAACAATCTGACCTGGAAATCAGATACAATAATGTGATCTGGAGCCCGAGGCTTCTGAAAAGCAGCAATGGAACCTTACTAAGTCACCCCGTTTCCTTCATTAGCAAATAAACTGCCAATTTTTTAAAAGTGTTCATTAACACTTTGCCCATACTTTTATGGCTAGTAAATGAAATTGCAGCTGAGACACTGCTGTAAAAACTTCTTTCCTCAAATTGGAGTTTTCTCAGCCACTGCCAGAAAGGATCACACAATGCAAGGTTTGAATAACTCACTCACTACCACTGGAAGGGAAGAGATGTATTTCTACCTTAACAATAATAGTAGCTACCTCTATTAAGTGCCCACTCCCTGAGAAAGCAGCTGACCTACCTCGCAGCGGTAACATTCCACATGGTAATCCTTGTCCATGGACACAACCCTGATGGTCTCGTCAGACCCCTGTGAGCATTCAAGCAAAAGAGAAATTACAAAGGCTTACAGCAGGACCAGACACATGCACCCTGTAGATTGCTTCCTGAATATCTGAGCTGCTGGCTGGACACCACAAATAAATCCTGCCACCTGCAGTTATTTTTACAGTAAAGCTTCATCGTCGACTCCAGTTACCCTCTAAAATGTAACACCAGAAATGTTAAATTCTCTCTGTTTAACATTCACATCTCTCCCAAGTCAGGCACTAATGATTTGGTAATTTCAATATATCACATTTCTCAGCATTTTAAATTGGTTTTGCCCAAGATTCACCTCTTTCAAGTATGAAATAAATTCATCCCAGAGGGGTCACAGAGAGGCCTTTCATGAGCAGCACCTGCATCTATTGACATGAAGGAAAGGTATCCCAAACATAAAACTAACAGCAGTATAATCCTGAAGGAGATGAAAAAAAACAGTCTGCCTCAACAGAAATAATCAAAGAGTCATAGAATGGGTTGGGTTGGAAGGGACCTTCAAGAGCATCTAGATCCAATCCCCGTGCATTAGCAGGGGCACCTCCCACTAGATCAGAGCCCCATCCAACCTGGCCTTGAACAGTCCTGGGGATGGGGCAGCCAAAACTTCCCTGTGAAGGACCCTCATTGAGAAGAATTTCCTCCTAATGTCTAAGGGAAAGGAGGGGAAAGAAAGGGCAAGGAAAAGCATGAAAGGTCAAAGAAGGTCTGGGAAGGGCAATGAAGGGAAAGGAGGGGAAAGGAAAGTCAAGGAAGGGACAAGCAAGGGGAAACTAATAGGCTCAATGACACCCATTTCACAGGTGCAGAAGGGGTGACTGAAGGGACCTGAGCAGTGCCACCAGGCAACAGGGGTAGGAAAAGGGACACAAGCAGCAACATCTGACACTTTGGTCTCTCAACAAGCACCACTAATGTTAGGCAGGGGTAACATGCTGAGACAAGTTCTTTGGAAAGCCAGCCTTGCAAATACTGGGATACAAATCCAGAGTGAGAGTTTGATCCTGAAAATCATTCTGCCTGGATGCACTGAAACAACATGAAGCAGACTCCCTTTAAGTTGAGGCCAGGGACATAGGTGCAACAGTTGATAAATCAGGCAATGCAGGATTACTTTATAGCAAACATTAGGCCTGAGAGTGCTGATAGTCTGGTTATGTGCTGTTGGACAGTCTTCTTTCTGGCATTTGGCTGGGACCTCCTGAATGATGGAAATGCTGTTGTTTTCTAGAGTCAATAAGTATCTATTACAATAAACAGGATCCCCACAGCTGTCACATGGGGACTATGCTGGCAGAAGCACAAGTTTAAGGTCATCCACTGTTATGGTTAGTCTGATATTGAGAAGCCTAATATCTACATGGGATTGTTAGTAGGAAACCATGGCGCAAACCACAGCCCATAGCACAAAACCTCCTCCTGTGGCCCAGCCACATCTGCCTGGGGGTACCTACAGGAAGGGACAGGTCTGTTTCTATACTGAGAGGTACCTCTTAAGCAGGGTGTGGAGCATCTGTGACTTCATAAGGGGGGGAAAAATGTCTTTGTGCCAGGGCTGTCTCTATACTGGGGGGTGGCACCTATACAGCAAGGTGCTGTCACTGTACTGGGAGTACCACCTGTTCAGAGGGAGGGGTCTGCCTCCACACTGCCAGCAGGCCTGTCTGTGTATTGGGGGGCAGCCCCACGCAGTGTGGCAGGGTCTGCCTCCATACCAGGGTGCTCCCTACGACCGGGTCTGTTTCTAACACCAGGAAGTTTCATTATCAAGCAAAAGAAGGCTCACAACTCAAGGGCAGAGTATGAGCCTAGGTCAAAAGGTTGCATGCTGGAAGAAGAGATTCTCTCTCCCCATCCCCGTGGGCATTTGTCTTGACATAGGGTCAAGTATGAAAGAGAGCAAAGCCTGAGACGTGATGCTCCCTTCCCGAAGGGAATACGGAATAAAAGGCTCTCACCTCAGAGGGCAGAATGGGAAGTCCACATGCTGCACACTTTGGAGCTAAAACCCTGGAAGAGCAACGAGAAAGTAAAGGAAGTTATAGATCAACAGAGAGGCCTGTATGATCTCAGTGATAAGACAAAAAGCTGCAGCTGCAAATAACCTATCCACTGGAAAGACTTAAATCTTGAGACCATAGATTCATTTTAGGATTAATTTTAAGTAATGCTTGGCACACATTACTCAGTCAGGCAAAAAGAGGTTTTACTTTTTACATTCAGTGCCAGAAAAAAAACCCCAAACAAACACACTGCAGAATTCTTGGCTGTTACTGAGAGATTTGGAAGAGAGGATGTGGAGAATCTGAGCAGGACCATCCTCAGAAAAACACATTAAAAAGCACTGGCAGCTTTACACTGGGGCAAGACACCTCAGAGGAAACACCATGGGACTCATAAGGCTCCTTAAGGCCTGTTAACATGATACATAAATAATTAAATGAAATAGCATGGAAACCTGCTATCATTTCACAACAACAGGGGCATACACAGGCAATCTCGGTGCAACACAGAACAGTTCCCAGGGCTGCCTGAGCAATGCTTAATACTCTCCCTGCTCAGAAAATGGAGCAGGGAGCAAAGCGAGCCAAATGGACACTCAAAATGTATGCAGCTCTAATACCATAACTACCAGCTAAGAGCAGAGTAATTTTATTTTACTAAATGAAATATCATAACTACCAGCAGAGAGCAGAGCTGTTTTATTTTACTAAATGACAAGTGTTGTGGCTTTTTTAAAGTACGTTTTATTGGTTGTTTAATTTAGAGCTGGATAACAGTCTTACTTTGATTTCTAAAAACATTCTTTAAAAGTCAAACTCAGCCCTGCAACTACTCAAAAAACGACTCTTGTTGATTTCAACAGCTATTCACAGTCTTACGTTGGAGTGGACTGATTTCTTACATCACTGAACACTTCATGAGAACTGTTTCTCACTATCTCTCCTTTGCAGGAGGGGCAGCTGAAGCCCAGGGGTGGAGTGACTTCCTCAGAGTTGCATGGAAAAATCTGATGGCAGGGCAAGAGAAGAGTCATCAGGAATTTCTAGGGTCCAGCCCCATGCTACAAATTTTACCTTCTAAACCGGTCCCTGTTTTATTAATCCATGCTTCCTAATTAGCTGAAAAGCTAAATTAGAGGTTTGAGCATCTCTGCTGCATACTCTGCCCTTACTTGTGGTAATCTCTGACACAGTAGATTTTGTTTTCAGAGTCCACAGTGAATGGCACACCATCCAGACACTCGTTGCAAACCACACAGCGGAAGCAGCCTGGATGATAAGACTTCCCTAAAGCCTGCAGGATCTGCAACAAACCAAGAGACAGGAAAAAAACATGTGAACAGCCAATAAAGGTGAAAATTATAAACACACAGCTTCACATCAGACAATGCCACAAATTCATCAGTGGGGCTGTGTCTTTTTCTGGGGACTTCACCTGAAAAACGAGTTAACAGGGATGGAAAGGGCAGGTGGAATAAATATTTATCACCAAATATTTATTAGTGCAGGTAAGAAAACAATTTAGAGTTTCAGTCAAGGTATTTAGCTTTACAAAGGATAGAAATGACAGAATTTAAAGGAAAGAAAATAATTTCTGAAGCCAACAGATTAAGAATACTTAGTAGGATCGATCGCAAGGCAAGACATAGCCAGCCAACAAAAGGAAATACATCTTTATATTCTCCATGAGAGGCTGAAATAAATACTATTGCTAGATTTTCATAATGCCTTAGATATCCAAGAGCTCTGTACTTGCTAGCTTGGCTTTCTAATTAACAGAGACTATGGGAACTGTATTGAACTCAACAGCTGCAATTCACCTGCTGGCTTTGGAGCAGTAATTTACTACCTGGAATACCACTTCTGAGCAAAAAATTGCTTTTCCAATTTTAATGCTTTCCAGTGTAAGCAGCACACAAAGATAATCAACAATAAGCATGAGAAAATTTTGGGAGGCATGCTGTGAACTAACCACTCAGAAATTCCTGCTTTCTTTGCCTTAGCCACAGCTTACCAGCTAACATGACCATGAATTTGCCTCCCTCTGAATCACCCACAGCTGAATGCTGCCTGCTGCTAGCTGACCCCCTACCTGAGCCATCACCCACTCCCTGCAAACCTTGAGCTGAAGGTACCTGTTGTAGGCTCATCAGAACTGTCTGCTTCAGATGTCCACACATCTACTGAACAGTTTTCAAGGACTTGGACAGATCTGAACTGAGGCCTGGATCCCACACCCTGGCTCAAAACCTGTTCCCCAAGGCATCTGCCCAACATCTTCCAGCACCCACAGAAGGCAGCAACAAGGCAGCAGCTTCATCCTGCTGCTCAGGAGTACATGGCTTGACTACAGGAAAGACAAGCTCAGCAGACCTGCACCAGTGCCCCACAGCAAAGGAGCACTGCAGAGTTGTGGCACTTATAGGAAGCATCAACAGGACTCTGAATACCCTGTCCAGGGAAGCCTGAAGGGGGATGAAAGAGCTGAAGGCTCGGAGTTTTGATTTGAACTGAGATCAGGCAGAGCAAAGTCTCTGCATGGCAGACAGCAGGGGGCCAGCTTCACTTCCAAGCAAAAAAACCAACAAAAGGCTTAGTGGATTTTCTTTCTGCTACCAATCTCACACTAGGCAGACTACCAGATGATAACAGACAGTACTGGATACTAATATATTTTGCTTTTGATGCATTCTTCTAAAAAGCTGTGGGATTTTTTCTCCTATAGCAATTATCACTTACCATGTCCATTATCAAATGACCACAAATGAAACACCTGTCAGCTGACTGCTGGAAACCAGAATACTGCAAGGACAAAAAAGAACTGGCTTAAAATTTCACAAGACTAGTCAAGCATAAACAACATATTATGGGGTGTTATTTGCTTGGCCTTTTCCTGCACTTCTTACACAAGCTAAACTTCCCAGTGCTTTTTTGAGTATATGGAGCTCTGGTTCAGCCCCTAGCAGATATTCCATAAAGACATCAGACTTTACTGCTTAGATGAAGGATGAGTCCCTGTAACTTTCAAGTCCTAAATTCAAGTTTAATTAAGTATATAAGTAAATACCATAAATGCATATGCAAACAAGGCATTTACTAATAAGACTTACATTCTCATTTGACTGTGAATTTTCATGCCAGGAACTCTCTTGTGTTTATCAAAAATTCATATCACAACATCTGTATATAGATATTGTTTTGGAAAGCCAAATTCTTCCTTTAGTTACACCAGTATAGGTCTACTCAGCGGTATCATCACAGACCTCTGGTAGCATAATATTCAAGTTTGGCCCAGAGCATCTTTCTTGCTGCTATTGTTAACATCTAATGGTAAGGAACTGCCTGTCATGTCCATGACATGCAACTCAGGCACAGCACATCATATGTCGCAGGTTTCAGACCTGTCTGAATGGTGGAAATGCAAACTGGAAAAATTAAATATTTTAGAGGCATTTAATCAATCTTTCGATTTTCAACATGTGTAGAATATCCTGATGAAAACAAAGAAGGTTAATTCACTTCTCTGTCAGAAACACTAGACTTACCCAATAAACAGGCAAATATTACTTTTTTTCAAGCCTCAGTGAAGGCTTAACCTATGAGGGCTCAAGGGCAGAGGTGTATATGGCTTTTTGGCCTTTTACCTCCACCAGCTGAGGAGAGAACCATGGGGTTGCTTCATCCTCACTTACGTTCACACAAAATCCATTGAGAGGAACCGAAAGCTACACACTAAGACACCCAAGCACAACCAGTTCACTGGAAAAGGAAATTCACTCATTGATTCATCTCACTCCTGTCTCCAGAGTGTGGCCACAGAGACATGCTTTGAAGGAACCATCAAAAGAGGCTACGGCTTCGACTACAGGCTCTGCAGTGCAAAAACCATGGTCTTTCACTTGGCTGCTTGCAGCAGCACACGTGGGTGGCCACCATGGCTGGGGCTGGCCCTGGGTAAAGGGAGAGCAGAAGGGCCAGGCAGGATGCTGGGCTAGAGCTGTGTGAAACGTGGGCAAAGCTGCCAGGCAGAAAGGCTGGGTGCCTGCTGGAGGGGCTGAAACGTGCTGGCACAAGGGTCAGCTGTCTGCTTACCAGGAAGTCTTCCTCACAGAACACCTTGCCGTTGACAAAGTAAAAGGCTTTTCCTCTCAGCTTTCGACCTGAGGAAAAAAACATGGAGAGAAGAGACAGGTCAGCCAACAATGGGGAGCAGATGTGAGCAAAAACTGGCTGCTGGGAAGGGAGCAATGAGGGCGTCTGAGCATGAACGCCACAGGGCTGGGAAGAGCACCCAACCCCAGCACAGGTCTTCCCGGGCTCCAGGGTGACCAACCCCATCTCTTCCACTGGCAGTCACTGGTGAATGCCAATCACTGGATCCAAACAGGAGCAGGTAGCTTTGCAAGCCTGGACCATCCATCTCCTGGAGATGACAACATGAAATAACCTGGGAAGGGAGAGTGAGGGTACTTTGATGCACACTGGAAAACACCCCAGGAAAGGAGCAAGGAGACAAAAAGGGCACACGGAGGGTGATCCATACTTGACATTGTTCCTCAAAATGTCACCTCCTGTGCTGTTCCACTAGAAGGTGCCTTCAACCAGCAGCTGCCAGATAAGCCACAGCAACGCCTGACCAGCTGGTGTGCCTCCAGCAGAGTGCAACACTGGAGCACTGAGCACGCTTCTCTCTGCTCCTAGCACCACGCTTATTATTGCAGCTGCCAACAAAAATGTGAAGGCATTTTAAAATACATTATTTTCTTTTTTTCAAACCAGATGACAAAGTTTTTTTCCAAGAAAGGACTCTACACATGGGGAAGATTTATATTTACTGCAGCTCTTCTGCTTATGCCTCACATTGGCTGCCTGTTTTCAGTTCCACATAACTATGGCAACACGTGCTTACGCTGCCACCACTTCTCAGTGCCTCGCTTTCTCCCCGAGGAAAAGGGCTACTTTTTGTTTGTTTATAAAAAGCTGCTCCTGCCTCTTTGCAGCCCAGTTCCCCTACTCAGCCAGGGGTTTGAAATGCAGCCTAGCACTGGAGCAGCTCTGCTTGCCCTGCCCCGGTTGAGGAGCCCCAGGTGAGTGTCCCAGGGCAGCACCAAGGGCAGGAGGAGCAACACAGCCCGGGCACAGCCAGAGCAGGGCTGGCTGCAGGCTGGTCTTGAGGACTTGCCAGGCATTGCTGGGAGGAAATTGGAACCAAAACAGCAGGGCCCAGAAGCCTCCTGCTTAATATGCACGTGTAATTTAAAAAGTATTATCAGGTGATAGGTGTATCAATGCAGACAACACACGGGACTTGTCTGGAGCTCACCTCTTGGTGCTTTATGACACCTGGCAGCCTTCGATGATTTAACACGCTGGCTGCAAAGTATTAAGGAAAGGAGGGAGCAAAGTAAAACCACTTCAATAAATAAAGAGCTTTGCTGTCTCCGCGTACACCAGAGGGCACTCTCAGGCCGGGAAACAACTCGCACTGCTCCTCAGGAAATGGAGATGCTCCAGGGAAGCTCTGAAGTTTGGCCAAGGAATCTAACCAGACCAACATCTCACCAGCAGCCCCCAGTGCCCTGCCCAGGCTGCAGCCGGCAAGGAGGGCAGAGGACTTGTCAGGGTGTTTCTCAAGGAACAAGCCCCAGTTCGCACATGGAGAAGCTTCATGGTGAAGGTGCAGACATTGCTCAGCTGTGTGTTTACCAGGCAGCGTAGAAGCCAGGATGCCCCCCAACATGCTCATTGTCCCCCTGTCCTCCTCTAATCCCTGCTGGGGACAACCACGTTACCTGGAGGTCAGCCCATCCTTGCACCAACATGGACAGCAAACGGGACACAGAAGAAAACCTGATAAACCCCAAAGCATCTTACTCTGATCCTCTCACCCACCCTGATGCTTTACCAAGGTTGCCAACACCAAGACAGGATTTGGAGACCAAAATAAAAAGTATCTAATCTTGGATGCTTTTGCTTGGTGGCCCCATAACCCTTCTTTTGTGTCTGCTTGCCCACAGGTAATCCTGGCATGTCTGCCAGCAGCTGCAGAGTTCCATTTCCAGAGAAGAGGAAGGAGAGGCATGGGGATAAGCTGGGATTTGCAGCACCTTTGTAAATGGTGGTCCTAAGTGAGCTAACAAGCCTAATGCAGCCAGGAGCACACGCAAAAGTCTCCCACCGATTTAAATTGGGATTTGGCACTCCTAAAAATGAAAAAAAAAACCAACAAAAAACCCACACAACAAAGCCAAAAACCATTTAACTTTGACTTTAAATTGTGAGATAGTGCAGGCTCCAGCTCAGTGCAACGGGCAAGCGCCCAAGCGACTTTCCACCTGCAATGTCTCTCCTTAAAGACAAGCTGACAGGAGTGAGGAAAAACATACGCACGGAGCCATGCAATGAGGAGACACCTCTTTGGATGATGGCCGGTGCACGGGAAGCAGCAGTGGCAGCCGAGGGGATGAGGTTTGGATTGCTGCCACCGTGCCATTCTTCCACGGTGACAACCACCGCGTTTACCGGCCATCCCGCACCCAGTGTATTTTTAACCCTGTGACATTAGCAGGTCAAGATTGATGGCAACAGGCTTTCAGAGAAGGCGCCACGGCCGGTGGTGCCCCATGTCTGGGCTCCTGCTGCAAGCTCATTCAGCAGAGGGATAAACCCCTTTATAAAGGATTTAAACTGGGCTGTTGGTGTTACATGGGCACACGGAGAAGAGGTGCTGACACCAAAAGCACTTTGAGGGAAAGGGATGTGTGTGTATCATATAATTACTCTCTTCAGGGAGTAAGTGGTCATTTTGATTATTCTTAGCTCCTCTCCACAACTCTCTTTAAGCCCCTGGCAGAAGTATAAATGGAAGTGTGACAAAAACACAAGTAAGCAGGTGTGCCTGCAGCCACACCAGGAGCAGCGCCTGCAAACACAGCTGATTTCTTCCTCTGCTGCTCACCGACCACGTCGGGATGGACTTCTCCTCCCACCACCCCTTTGACGTGAGGAAGCGTCTCCTCATTGTACACATGGGAAAGAAAGATGCAGGAAAAGCTCACTTCCCCGAGCTGCACTGGGGACCATCCCAGTGGAGCTGGGAAATGCACATTCCGGCTGTGGCCACACCAGTAAAACAAGCCATGCTGGGACTGTCCCGCAGTGCAGAGCAGGGCAGCAGCAGCTTCTGTCCCTGCACCGAGTTCCCTGCCATGGGACAGCACCTCACATGAAACAAGTCCCTCTCAAAAGCAATACTTCTGACTGTGTGCCTGCAGAGCCTGGCTCAGGTGTTGCTTCAACACAGAGATGCTGTTGTAATTTCACCTCAAGAAGGACTGAGAACTGAAACGGCACACAAGGAATCACATACTGATCTCTGCCAACTTTAAATATGCCTTACTTCAAACATGCATCATGATGACTGCATAGACTATATCCTTTGATAAACCCAGGAGCATTAATGCGTGGCCTGCTGCTTTCAGGATCAATTGCTCTAATGTCTTAAGCTGCTGGCTCCTGACCATATTTCACTTTCACTTCCACTTTACTCTGAATTTAGCTAGTCTTTCACCTGAAAAAAATCAGACTATTAAACCTCCTTGTCATTTCAATCCTACCATCTTCATTCACTGTTACAAGATCTCCTGTCCCTGACGGGAGGTTCGAGCCTCATGCTTTTATGTACTGCTCATCCCTAACACAACTGTCTAGTCTGTTTAGCTGTGGGAGCTCCAGGATGACCTTGAGGTCATTTAAGCACCGATTTCAGAATAGTTCAGGCTTAGTCACTGGTGCCTTGGTGCTAAAATAAACACACTTTGCTTAGCTGCTGATAATAGGCATACCCCCAGGCTGCACTTCCAGGATGCTGCTACTTTTGTCTGCTTTCTCCTTTTGAAGTTCATCTAAGGAGGAGTTTGTTTACCTGGGACTTGCAACAGCCCAAGGAGTATGCTGGAAGATGCACCAGTCGCCTGCTGGAGAGCCAGACCAAACTTTCTCTTTTGAAGCTGCTTTTCCATTATTTACTAAAAGGACAATGAGGTCACACCCATGTTCAAAGACCAGAGATTGCTCTCAATGCATGTAATGGTACAGGGCAGTGACTGGATCCTGGGGTTCAATGGAGATGCATGACCAGGACCCTCTCCTTGCTGGGGAGGCATCATGGACCTCACTTATCACTTATCTAAGCACCATGGAGCTCCCTGAGGTGCCTGCACAGCAGATGGGCAAGAATCACTGCAGACTGGCAGCTGCTCCTGGGCCCCTTTCACACTAAAAACCCTGGGCCTCTGTCACTACAAAAATCAGTCCTTCACAGAGCACCACCACTGTAAGATAAATTTGGATGTGTAATTACTAGTGGCAGGTGAATACAAAAGGATTTCCGTTTCTGGATTGGCTAGATGTGACCTCCTGACACACTAGTGGGACAGCAGGCTGGAAAGGGTGGCTCTGGCCCAACCTGCAGTCCTTCCCACAGTTTTCATTTTCATCCACATAGAAGTACGAGGGGGCTTGGATCAAAGAACCTACTCCAGTCTGTGCACACCCCACAGGCAGCACAAGGGGTGCAGGCAGAGTCAAGAGCCCCCAGCTGCCCCATATCATAGAGTTAGTTCAGCAACACACAAGACCCACTGCTGCCTGGGCAGCACACGTGTTTATGGAGCAGCACAAGTATTTATGGATACTGACTTTGCTGACAAGCAGCACAGTGCACTACATGTGCAGCAGACTAGGTGGAACATCAGAGGGGCTTAATTTCTGCCACCTGTGCTATTTCTGTTGAACGCCACTGAAACTGGATGCAGCGCCCCGTCTGACCCAGTATTTCCAGCCTGCACGTAGAGTGGGGCTGCACAAAAGGGTTGCTTAGATGCCTGTACCTCCTCCTCGGGTAAACTCAGACTGTGACTAACCAGCAGACACCCCAGGTTAGATCAAAGCCCTGGTGAAACCATAGGCAGGATTATAGGATGTCTCTTAGAAAAAACTGTGCTGAGACACAGCAGCTCTGTTACTATGAAGATGTTCAGTCTCTCTCTCAACTATACAAGCTGTACTGTAAAATTGCAAAAAAATGTCCTCTATGGTCTCATCACATATTTGAGGTGGCAAAAACAAAGGAGAAACAAAACCCTGAGAAAACAGTCTG